CTATATACCCGAACATGTTTTAACATCTATTATAAGGCTTCCTTTGTTTGAAGGAGAGAGGTATTAATAGTCCTCCAACTGTATTGGGTAAAATCCCACCCGTTAGGTATTAAAGTCATTAATTGGGGTTAAAGTCCCCTCGTAGGTGTTAAAGTTCCCCTATGTGTGCCGTTTGGTTTACAGACCCTGGTTCACAGAGGATACCAAAGAAATCCTAGAAAAGACAAGGTAAACTGTACATGTGGCATTTAAAAAGAAAAAAGAGGAATAGTGTCCCGACGAAAACTAAAGGTACCATGGTCAGATAAATAAGTTTTCACAAGGGGGGTTCGTTAGCATGAAACACTTGAAATAACTAAAGAAAGTTTAACCAAGAAAGAGGAAAGAAAGGGGGTGATACAAAAACTATTCTGCTAAAAAGTAGCAATGATTGATAGTCAGACCTAAACATTTCAGATGTGTGTATCATCACACTGACTGGAACTTTTATTGAATTACTCTTTGCTTTAAATGGGTGCTTTTAAATGCATTTTATAATCGTTTGCTTCCAAATGATGTTTGTTAAATGTAACTTCCATATAGTTTCTTAATGCTCGAATGTCTTTCATTTTGTAAAGCACTTTGAATGCCTGTGTTGAAATGTGCTATATAAGTAAACTTGCCTGCCTCACAAGCCTGAACCTTCCGCGGCCTCCATGCCATTCCTTGCCCAGACTCAGGCAAGTGACAGAGTGAACAAGCAGAACATGACGGTTTCAGAGGTCGAGCCTGATCCAGCGCAGCCAGACTCATGGGCGGATTACAGATAATGGCCCTCCACACGATCTGCGAAAGTCCTGCACCTCTACCTACAGAGGGATGAGACAAGTGCCCCCCATGCTGTTAAGACTCACTATTTGTGGTCATTTTGTCTGTCTTTGTAGTTGCTTGTGACACATTATTAGTCATTGGCTGTTTTTTTATGGTCCTTTTACGTTCTCTGTGTGTCTTCACAGCTGTTTTTGCATCTTTGTGGTCATTGAGTCAATTCCGAGTGGTTGTGTCACTTTGAATTACATTTTGAGGTGAAGGACAGGGGGTCCCGAAAACAAACATTACTGTATCATGAGACATCCAGTGGTACAGCTTTAGATTGGTGAAATGTGAAGATCCGACTTTTTCTTTCTGTAAGAAACAGAAGCTGTTTGTGCCGTTATTGTATTTCTTTTAGTTGGTCCCAGTTTATGGCTCTTATTCTGTGCATCTCTTTGACCTACACCAGGAAGGTAATCTGACTGTTTGTTTTTGTTGTCTATTATAGACATTGTTTATGGAAAAACTGCTTGCATGATAATATTCAATAAATAGCTATGAGGAGAGTCCGAATTATTATACAGTTTAACTTGTATGCAACATTGTCGAAGTACTGAGCAGGTGGTCCTTATTAGGGCCTTATATCTACTTTTAAAAACTGCTAAATGCATTTGAAAATGGGGATAATGGCTGAGTGGGAAGAAAGTAACAGTTAGACGCTGTGGATGATGTCATTTAATGTGCAGCAGCATCTCATGGTAGTGAAGCCTATGTGTAAGTTGCAACCATTTTAATGCCACTTGCAGGTTGTGTGTCTGTGAGCTTTCTTGGTGTGCCCCCCTAAACTATTTATGATTTAACAGGCTTCTAATGTTTGTATGGGATACAGTAATGCCAAGCATAGGGAACACAGATGTTTTAAACCAAATGTAATCAGATGAAGTTCATCACAGCCACAACTACCTTCTTAGTGATCCGGTAATAGGCCAATCAGCCAAAAAAGGCATTAAAATGCAAGAGGTCCCGTTCTATGTAGGAGAAATGGACATATAGATCATAAAATAGAACATTTATGATGCACTTTAACCTGACAAGGAGCTTCACAAATGCCTCAAAAAAATTAAAAAGGCTCAAGAACATGTTAAAACATGCCGTTAAAGTCCCATGTCATTGGCCATTTCTCTGATCATAATTCAATTGTTGGAGTATACTAAATAGATTTATACTGTGCCAATTTTCCAAACTAAACACATTGGATGTTCTCATATTAGCATCCTGTAAAGTATGTTTATTACGCCGGTATTCACCCTCTGTCCTAAAAGGCTTGTTCGAGCTCCTGCCCACTCCATTCCCGGTGAGCCCAGTGTGGCTCTGAATTGGTCGAGAAGCGACTGCTCGTTGCTGTCGCACACAACAGCACACACACCTGGCGTGCGGGCTGCTGCAGGAAGCAGACAGGCTTGGCGATACAGCTAGAACAAGCAAAACTCACCAGACCGAAGTGAAAACAATAAGTGTGGCTGTGGATATTGGTAGAGAAGAAAGGGTTTTATAACGCTGTGAGGGCATGGGCCTGCAGAAGCATTTTCTAGTAGTATACTCTCTAGTAGTATACTCTATCTTTAGTAATACCCTCAACAATGGAATTATGATCAGTTGAAATGGCCATGACATGTGCCTTTAAACATCATAAATAGTACACAGAACAACAATGAATACTTACAGGTTGTGTGTACCCGAAATCTCACCCGCGGTCCAAAACAAAGTAGGAACAGCATCTTTCTTCAGTGCCCTACGCTGTGCATATTCTGGCATGAATCCTGAAAGGTAGGGAAGCTTTGTCTCCTGAAGGCTGAACAGAGGGGGCGGCCATAGCTCCTGGGCGCGGCTACTGGGTATTCCCATACCGTAGCGATACCCCGGAAGTTAAAAGGAGTAAAATCTCCCAACGAGGTGTTTGGGAGGGTCTTTTCTGTGTTAAGTTTTAACCCTCCCTACAGGGCTGTACTTTGAGGGTTTTTACTCTGCAGACCGTTTACATGCATAAAAACCTCATAACACACAAGGGGAACGGTAATAACCGAAAAGCATGACATGGGACCTTTAAGATCAAACTAGTACACATTACAACCCATTGACATGGCCATACATGGCAACAATGGAATACTATATGTGCAATAATTAAAAAATTGGAGAGCAGCAATTTGACTTGAAGATGACCTACATTTGAGACAAAGAAAAGCTGTAACAATAAAGGTTGAAGATGTCGCTATTAATCAAAAATGTCCCTTTTTTCTATGCATTCCGACATTTATATTATATTAAAGACGTAAATGTACTATGAGGCTGAAAAGAAATTGGTAAGATGGACAATGGTTTGTTTAGGTTCACATATTAATGTTGATATATATACGTTCCCCATCTTAATTATGCTAAACAAAAGTAGGAACAGTCACAAAAGGTTTTAGCAACACAGCTGCAGCAAATTAAAACCACCACAAGAAGACATATAATGGTTTTTAAAACGCTCCTGGACATTAAGGTTTGTTAACCTGAACAGTGAAAGTTTATCAAACCTTTCCTCCTTAAAAGATCTCCATAAAAAAAGTTAGTCTTTTATAAGTTCATGCTCTGTGGTTACTTAATCATCCTCAGAAAAAGTAGGCCCCTCCTACCTGTAAAGCCATTGGCATTGCCATATGGGAGAAATCATCAACAGTTTTGGGGAACTTGAAAACCACTTCATGAAGATTGTGATCATTGTAGCAAAACACCACAACAACATGAAATCCTCTGATTAATATTTAAAAAGTAATAACAATACAGTAGCTGGTAATTTTTCGAAAGTATACTAGATTTAAAGGTACATACCACATATCACCTCCTTACCCAACACGGGGGTACAACGGAGCTGATCCAGATTTTGCTGCGGACTTGACGTCATTACTAAAATGTGGGCTGGCTTGACATTGGACATATCTTTCTCCCATATACCAACACAATCTCACTCCCTGATAGTCCAACAGCGACGCTTGGTCAGGGTCCTTTGGCATGCAGTTGTGACGCACCGAGTCTCCTTCAGCTTCATGAACGGGACGCAAAGTTGCTTTCAACTGAATGACTGAACTATAGCCATCCGCTGCCTTGTGTGTACCTTGGAGAAAAGGAGAGAGACATTTTCAAGGAGTTTAGCGAAGTAATCAAATCTTGAAATAATAATAAAATCCATGGGCACAGGGGTCAACACCCTAATACACAGGACAAAAGCACTGCTCCTCTTCCAGTTAC